AATTTCATTATTTGATAGAATATCTTTAACATTAATTGTTGTCATTCCATCTGATGATTTAATTGTATCAAGATAAATTGTATTATTGTTAAAATATCTTGTTGTTAAAATATTATTTTTATTTAAATACTTTGAACCAATTGCTTCCATTTAATAATGTAAATTAAGTTCTAAGATAAAATATTCATCCCAAATTCCAAGTGGCATAATAATATTTCCTTTATAATCTTTAAACCATATTTCTATTGAAGTTATATTTTTATTAATATTAAAATGTTTTGGTGTCATATTTCCATATGTTGAAAAACATATCATTTGATCATTTTCAGGTGAATCATAATTAAATGAACCATGACAACTAACACCAATATCTAATTGACCATTCAAATTAAAATAAACAAAATTCAATACTTCTATTGTTTTAGGATAATTTTCAGAAGTAATAAATTCCCATGGTAAATTCACTTTCCATTTCCCTGTTGTTATATTTGGAGATGTATTTTCTCTTGTGATTGTTAAATATCTTTGATTACTCATTAATATGATGTTTTAAGATGAACTTAATAATCATCTAAACTAAAAATATTTATTTAATAAATACCATGTCAGTTGAAACTATTCAACATCAAAATCAATCAAACACTATGGAAGAAGAAACAACTAAAGATACTTCATCAATTACAACAATTCCACAATCACCTAGTCAAAATCAAACAAATGGTACTTCATCACAATTAACACAAAATGATAAGACTGATACTCTTAGTTATTTAAACACAATGAAATATACTAAAACTAGACAATATTTAGAACATCTTATGCAAAATATAAATAACATACCTAATACTTGGTATATTAATAATCAATTAATTTATGTTCCTATTCCTGATTCAATACAAGATTTTAAACATGACTCTATTTCAAATCAAGTTAAAAATTATCTAAATACATTGATTAATAATGATGACGATAATGGAATAAATAAAAGAATGCAAAAATTGGTTCAAATTCTTAGTACCAACTTTAAAAATATTTATAACTCTATTCAGTATTCTATTACTTATTATGTACAAGCATTCATGAATTATATTTCATCAATATTAAGCAGATCAATAATGAATTGGGATCTTAAAGGAATGTTTTATTTAATTAATAATAATGATTATGAATATATTAATAATCCATTAGGGATATTATGTGATAATCTAATTTTATCAATTCAACGTTCAATTATTGTTAAAAATGCTAAATCAAAAACTGGAAGTAAAACATTTAATATTGAAAATGAATATAAACAAGCTACTCAAATTGGTGGAAAACAATATATACGTCTTGCTGGTTTACGTGATGATATTTCAAATAATAACGGATTTAGTAAATCATTAAATGATGGAAGAAGAAAACAAAAATCATCAAAATATGAAAAAACACAAAGGAAATTTTCATTTCATTCATTCTTTATTCTAGGAATGACTAAAAATCAAATTATTCAACAAACATTATTTAATGGAAAAGAAGGAGCAAGTGCTTTAGCTCATTTAATAAAAGCAAAAGTAATTCCTGATTGTGTAAGTTCAATATGGGTATGTTGTGTTGATAAAAGATATGAAAATGGAAGAAATGGTAAATTTTCTGTATCTAAACAAAATATTACATGGTCAGGTGGAAAACTTAAACCAGATATAGATGATGAAAAAGGATTAACAAAATATTTAATTATTTATTTATGTGCTAAAGATAATGACTATATGATTAAAAAACAATAATTCAATTATCTTTTTATAATTCTTAAATCTCCTGTTAAATTATCTATTTTTAATACTTCATTTTGATTTATAGATTGATATAAATAATAAGCAACAGAATTTGTAGCTGATCCTGCTGTTTGTCTATAAATATATCCAAAATTTTCTTTAGAATATCCTTTAAATATAATAATTGTTGCAATTTGTGTTTTAAATGATGGATTTAATGCTTTCCAAATATGTAAATTCACAATAATTGTTGTTTTTAAATGTCTTAATCTTGTAATAATTTCTCCCCATGTTTTATCTTCTTTCATTAATGCAAATGATGCATCTTCTAATATGATTAATAAATGTTTTTCTTGTGGTTGTTTATAATATTGCATTAATGCTGGCATAAATTTTTCATAATTCATTCCATAAATTGGTGTTTTAATTAAATCTTTTAATTCTTTAAATGTTTCATCTTCTCCTGCATTTTGTGATACATAGATAATCGCTTCATATTGGTGTTCTATTTTGTTGAGTTTCGCTAATTCTTTCATAATAAATGTTGTTTTCCCTGCTCCTTGTTTCCCTATAATAATATTAAAACTATTATAATAAAAGAATATTTGTCGATGAACTCTTTTAATTTGATTCTCTCCTTTAATATTACTTAATCTTTCTTTAATTTCTTTATCTATTTCTTCTTCTCCAATATCATCATCATCTTCTTCTTCTCTATAATCATTTATATCATCATATTCAAAATTATCAAATTCCATAAACTAAAATTATAAAGATTGAATTATTTAATAGTTTGTTTGAAAAACTTCTAGTCTTTGTTCTAATAGTCCATTTCTTATTTCTTCATTTGTTTTCATTTCTTGAATATATAAATTTCTTATTTTCTCTAATTCTTTTCTTAATCGTTTATTCTCTGAAATAATATCTTCCATAATATCATTTGGATTATCAATCACTTGTCTTTTAATATATTGATTCATTTTATCTTTTTGATTTCTTGTTTTCTTAGGTGCTGCTTGTTCTATTAGTGGATTACTTGGTCTTATCATTGCTGGTGGCATTTCATTAATATCAATTACTTGACTTTCAACAGTGTTTTGTGGTGTATTGTTCATATTCTTATTATTTGTTTTTTCTTGTTTTTATTCTTGTTTAAATATCATGTTGAAATATTATTCGTGTCATTCTATATTCGATTTTCTTCTTTCATGAGTTTTATCAACTAGGATCCTTTCATTATTATCATAAATACATCATTTCAAACTCATTATTTCATTTGATCAAATGACAACATTAAAAGATATTCTCATTACACTTGCTGGTTATGAAATAGATCAACCAACATTAGAAGAAGCAATTAAACTTCAACAACAAATTGCAAGTTTATTACCATCAATTCATGAAGAACATCAGAAAAATTAATGAAACAAGCATATTGGAAATGTGTATGGTTAATAAATACTTTAGCACCTTGGGTTAATAAAAATAATTGATTATTTATATGAAACCTTTCATTTTATTATCAAATATTTATTAAAAAGTATTTCAATTATTTTATATTTCTTTCATTCTTTAAAATAAGTTAAAATTAAATAAAGAAAAACTAATAAATTAGTTTAAAAGTTAAAATCATTCAAATCTTTAAGAGATGAATGGTCTTCTTGGAAATGGAAACTCCAATAATTGTTTATACCCTCAGTGACTCTATGAATTGATGAGGGATCTTCAAACTCTACATCGTTAGACTCTTCAAATTCCATTTCATTGCTTTCGTCTTCTTCTAATTGAACCTGGTTTTGTAATATTTCTTCTTCATTATCATCTTCTAATTCCTCTATAAAATTATTAGTAATATCTTTTTCTGATACCTCCTCTTCTTCTAATTCATTTTCCTCCTCATCTTCTAATATTTCTTCTTCATTATCATCTTCTAATTCCCTTATGGTGTCATCAATAAAACTATTCTTTTTTAATTCTTCCTTATTATTTTCCGTGTAATTATCTGTCTCATCGTTTGTGTAGTCTATATGAACTTCCTCATGAATAAGTTTCATTCGTCTTACTGTCTTGATTTCCGCTTCATTCCATTTTGAAATAAATGGAGTTATAAGCACTAAGTTCTCAATATGTATTGGATTTTGTTCATCTAATAGTACAATAACGTACCATGATAAAAATTCTATAAATGTCTGCCTTAGCCAAAAATCTTCATTAATATTAATTTTTTTAATACAAAAATTCATAAGGTTAATTACGTTGAGATTGTCTTTTAATAAAATACTTTTTCTAAGTGATTTTAATATAGTTATAAAATCACAAAGTTTATAAATTAGATGCTCATTAAGGCTTATATTGTAATTTCTATTAATATTTTCAAAAAGATTTTTCCTTACGGTTTTAAAATCTTCAATAGTATTTTTTATTTTATGAAAGAGTTTAATGCTGTGAGATTTTAAAGACACATTAGCGTATTTTGGAAATCTTTTAGGAGGATTGCGTCTAAAGTAATACGAGCGCTTTTTTGGTTGATTAAAAGAAATTTCTTTTACGGGGTTTTTAAGACGAATACAATCCTCGTTTAATTTAATCAATCCATTAAACATTGAGATATTTTCGCATGTATTATGTGATAAATTTTCTTTATTAAAATCTATTAATTCGTTTTGAAAGTATTCAAATCGAGCAATGGGATCTGTTTGACACGTTTCGTGCTCGTAATTAATAATGTTTTCTTCAAAAAGACTAACACTACACATGTTTGATATTTTTGATTAACTATGATTAAAAAACGTTTTGAGATTGTTTAAAAAGGAAATTTAAATAAATACTAGAGGTGAACTTTAAAAGATTAGCGTCGAACTTTAAAGTTGAAATTATGAGATATGAGGTAATAAAAATAAATGATATTTAAAACAATATTTATAATGATCTAAAAATAGAACCCATTCTATAAATAAAATCTCAAATAAATGTTATATAAAACAACTTAATAAAATTTACTTTTAATGCTTAATATGATGATATCACACTATCGTCAAATTGTACCATAAAAAAATTATTATAAAAAGAAAAAAATTAAAATTAATTTCTAATTTAAGAAAATTGAAAAAATTAAAATAAAATAAAAAATTAATTATATTAAATTAAATAAAAATTAATAAATAAAAAACAGTAAATCTTAATTTATCTATTTCATTTTACTCAGATGAGATTATATCATTCATTTTCTATTAAATAATTTGTTCATGAAGTACTTCTCTATATTCACTTCCATAATATCAATAGTATTTTATTATATCTTTTATGTTGATAATAATTATATCTTTTATCATTATTTCATATTAAATTAAATACAATATTGTTATCATTCTTACAAATTCTTTATTAAATAATCAATTTATTGTTATTACTATTTGAATTACTTTCATTTTAATTTATTAATTTGTATTATTTTGAATTGGAGAATTCTATTCATTTCAAATTTATTAGTAAATTTCAGAATTATCATTTTATCAATACTATTGTTATATCAATTATTATTCATATTTGTTTTATTTTATATTCTATATTAAATATCTAGTCTTTTATGAAATATTCAATTTTATTAATTATTTTTTGATTCAATACTATGAATACTTCATTATTTTATATTCTTATTTTGATTCTACTTATTTCATTTTTATTAAATATTAATTTCATTTTATTCTATTTTATTTTATTCTCCATTTTTTCATCATTTATTATATTTATTTTATATTTTAATTTATCACATTCAATTCATTTATTAAATCATGTTTATCCATTTGTACAATGTTATTTAATAATATATGTTTAATTGATGATATTTTATCATTATAAATACTATATCACTTTAAATTATTAAATCATGTAATTAATACTTTCTTAATTAATCAAATGTACTATTTTCTTACATTAATTTTAATTAATTATAATCATTTCATTTTATATTAATATTCATCCATATTCTACTTGATAATTTCATATCATTCATTTAATTTTCAAATTATTTATTAAATGAATATTTATATTATTTAATTTTAATTTATTAATATATATTTCATTAAATTTATTATTTAAATATTTTATTATTTTATATGAGTTATTCTTATTTTATATAATTTGTTATATTTCATTATTTTCATTTTTATTAATTCTTTTATCATATGTTTTATAAAATCTCTTCTAAATTCAATTCTTATTCATTTTTATCATTTCTCTTATTTCATTATTTCAATTCATAATACATAATAGTTCTTATTAATTCTAATTTATATTCATCTCTTAATAACATTAATCCATCTCCTAATTTACCTTTATTAATATATAACCTTTACTTAATGAATTTAATATTTGCCTCTTGTATCTTCTTTATAATATACAGATCAAATTTATCTAATTTAGTGATTGACTAATGGATCATAGATGCAGCATATCTGAAAATATTGATATAATCCTATTGATAATTTTTATTATTTTCATTCATTTTTTTGAATATTTATTTTGTCCATTATATCATTTTCTATTTTATTAATACATTTTTACATCATCATTCTTCTCATATTGAAATACACAATGATATTTGTAGGACTTGGAGTCATCTACAATTATTATTTTAATCATGTTATCGATGATTGTAATATTTTATTTTCTAATTATTACACATTTATTAATATTTACTTCAATATCATTTAATTGCATTAATGATAAATTGATTGTTTATTTTAATTACTTTCTTCGAATCATATATGATTTTTAAATTAACTGTGTATAAAGTGTGAAATAATTTGATTGAATTAATGTCAATATCATTTAATTATTTGATATGATATTTTGATTAATAATAAATAACAATAAAGAGAAAAATAATGTAATCACACATTTTAATTTAACATACTTCTATATATTATTATATGTATATCCTATCTTAATACATTATTTGTTGAACACACATTCAATTAAATTGGATATTGCATTATTAATATTAAAATATTTTAATGAATATATTATTTATTGATGATTCATACAATCATATACTTTCTTTATGTTATAGAATACCTCATTGAATCTAAAAAGATTCAATTTCTTCTATTCATAGATAACTTTTAATAATTTATTCTTTTAATGCTAACTACATCTCTTTACATCCTATTTGAATTTTATTTATTTTGTATTCATCATCATTTATTTATAAT